GATCCAGCAACCACTGTGGGTATACACGAAAGAAAGCAGTCAGTATATGATAGAGACTCACATACCCATGTGTAATGTGACGTCATTCATAGCAGACAACTTATGGAATCAGCCTAGATATCCAGCAATGGGTGAATCATCACGGAGTTTTTCTTAGTTATAAAACACGGAACCATGCCATTTGTAGAAAAGTAAGTGTATGTAGAAATCATTCTGTTTAAGGAAGAGAAGCCAGACTCAGAAAGAGAAATATTACATGCTTCCTTCCATGAATGGAATCTGCTTAAGGAAAATGTCACAAAAACAGAAAAGGGACTCCTAAGGCAGAGAAGGAAACCAGCCCGAGTGGAGACATAGAAGACAATAGATGGTGATTATTATTAAAGAACAGTATATGGATGCATGAATATGTTACAACAAAGTACATTATATTGTATAATTATATATACCAATAAAAATTTACAAACTTTGCCAATAAAAATATGCTTCATGTTGGCTACTAAAACAGCAATACCTGGCTACCTACAGGTCATCTTGATGGCTTCAGACCTGAACCTATGACTCTTCCCATCCAGCTGCCATGTTCAGCACAGCTGCTGGGGGCTTCAAAGTAAGATAGAGTGGGAGCTGAGTGTTCTAGCACATTCTTTCTGCATGAGAACGTGACTTCTGGGCTTTCTACTTCTTGCCAGATGCCATAGTGTTAGAGGAGGTTACCTTTCCCTCAGACCCCCTCAGTTACCTGAGGAGCCTTTTGGAATTGGCTAGCTAAAAACTGATGGGATGCCACAGACTACGCAAATGGCTCTTCTTGTCAACATATGTCTTGGAGCTCTGCAGAATGTGTCTGTAGCTGCTTTGGGTCCTTAGTGAGGCTGACTCTGATGAAGGGTGAAACCCAGGAAACAATTCAGTGTCTAAACTAAAACAAAACAAAACAAAACAAAAGAAATAAACAACTCATCTTCATACGGTTACCAGTCTAGCAAGTGCTCTGTCTTGACATTTATTATAAAGCATTGGACGTTTGCCTAACATTTGTTCTGTTCATGTTGAAAAATCTTGGAGAATTTCCCATCTCCTAGATAGTCACTATGTAAATCAAGCTCACACTTGCCTCTACATGGAGCAAGCCTACAACACAAGTGCCAAGGCACTCCTAATTCCTTTTTGGGGATAGGTATTACTAAGAATTGCCAAAGTACACATGCTACTCTCAGAAACCTAAGGCATAGCTGGTAGAAGAAACATCACTCAATAGGACGCTGTCATCCCAGAGAACTAGGTTAATTGGAAGATGTAGTGGTTTCTTCAGACAACTCCTTTTAAAACCTCTAACTTTTTAAAAAAAAAAACCCTAAAGAGTATCTGTTTTTTCACTAGGACTTAACCTTTCATTATGGGTTTTCCATGTTGCTGTCACCCCCCAATAACAGAAGGGACAGTGGAGAGTCCGAACTCTCCTAGGACTGATGAACTGTAAGTGTTCATCAGTCAAGGACCTGCTCATGTGATACAGGACCCATTTGAACTTCAATTTTCACTAAAACAGCAACAAAAAACACTTAGTACACCCACAGACTGTTCTGGCTGACCTTCGATCTGATTATTTCTCAGATTTGGACACTTTCATTGATTCACAATCCAGAAGCCCAGGTCCTCAGAGACATCGTAGCTTTGCCAAACTGTTTAACAGAGGAACAATTAAGACAGTGAAGAGATGACCTATAGAATAGGAAAAAATTTTACCAGCTATTCATCTCACAAGGAATTAAATTCCAGAATATTTAAATATAAAGAACTCAAAACTTTAAACACCAAAAAATAAATAAACTAATCAATAAGTATACAAAAGAACTGAATAGACCCTTTACAAATGCTATGATAGACATCAATCCCAGTAGAGTTTCTCTTGGATGGAAAAGGCATCTCAGAGGACACTGTGCTGTCTCAGAAGCTCACACTGGATATGCCATAGTCTCAGTTCATTTGACCCCTGCAGCTTTTGCGTGTGATATGAAAACTAACAGCATCTCAGAGCCAGGCAAACCTGCCAGATCTTGAGGACAGGAGTCAAATCAAGCTTGTGTTGGCATTCCCTTGAGTACCTAATACTGCAACTTACCTAGAATAGTTACTACACAAAAATAGAATCACTAGCTTCCACCCCCAGTTCCCGGTTATTGCTGTCTCTGCAGGCTCCTGAGAAATTCTTCTCTACTTTGGTTACGAAAGATGTCCTCACAGATAGACCCCTAGGCTTCCTTCCAACCTGCAATTAACTTCTGCTCTGTCATCTAAGATAAGCCTATCTCCTTATAGGCTTCCTTGAGGGCAAACAGTCCAGCAACCTTGATTAGACTCCTGTTAGCCAATAGCCTGCATTTTTTTAGTAGTATTTTTAGACAAATAAAGGAATTAACAGTGATCAAGTGGGATAGGTGGTCTCACAAGCTGCTTTTATCCCCCATCCTCTCTGAGGGACCCCCTACATGGAAGTGTCTTGGCTCTGTGGATCTGTTTGCCTTTACTGGCCATTCCAGAGTTGTTTCTGGGGTTCTCATCCAAACATCTTCAGAGTTTATGTGAAGGAGCATGGTCACATGCCAACCCACACTGTGACAAAGACAAAGACAGGGGCATTTATCTTCTCCGTTCCCCCCTTTCCAGAGCAGCAAGCAGCATTTTGGTAACCTAGAGATGAGAGACAAAAACCTTACAAGAGACTCTCTAGAACTGTCTTCCGCCCTAAGATAATAATGGCATGCTGGGTATTTATGCGTATTTCTGTGTGTTATATGCCATGAGATGGTGTATGTATGTGCACATGTACATCTAAGTAGATGCAGAGAGAGGCTGTGAAAAAGTATTAAATCACTCGGACTCCTTTAAGGAATCTTTGGTGTTAAAAAGAATGTACTTTTAAAAGTTCTAAGATGGTCTATAAGCTTGATTTGAGGGAACAATTTTAAAAGAGCAAAACTAACAAAACTACTATCACCTACTGCCCTACCTACTAACTTCCCACCAGCACCACCAGCACCTGCCCCACTTCACTACCCTCTAGCACCACCTCCCTGACCACCACCTCTACCACCACAGAAAGCTTTTTCAGAAAGAAGAGTAGCGTCTGAAATAACTGTTACACAAGAACAAGCTAATTGTCTTACTTTCAATGATTGGCATTCCAGTATTACAACCTACGAAAAATAAATCCCTAACAATTTCTTCTTGATTAGTCTAAACTAAAGCTAAGAGCTATTTCTTAGATTGATTCAGAATCTGAAACAGTTGAACAGGCTTAACAAAAGGAGCTGATATGAACGGTTGAAAAGCTCTTTGTCCTGCAAGTCAAGGAATTTTAAGTTCTCCTCAGTCTGCCTTCTTACAAAGCACAGCTGTAGTGTCAACACTGTCTCTGGATGCTCTACAAAAGAGAGACTTTAGCAGCAGGTGTCTTTTGATTTGCTACACAGGGATTCAGAAATCTCAGAATTAAAACTTGGAATGCACATTCTTCTCATAGTTCCAACAAGAGTACCTGTTCACTGCACTCAATGGATTTTACTGTTTGTTTAGCCAGACCTCCCCCCCACCCCCCGCCTCGCCCATTTCCTCCGTCACTCAGAAAGGCTTCAATGTACTTATCTGACGAACAGATTGATATTGCTTTCATGAAGTAACTCAGCATTTTCTTCTGTTCATGAGATCACTTCCAAAGAGGTGGGTTGATGGCTAGGATGGCTTGGTAGTATCGCTCTTTGCTAAGATCACCTTGGAGCCCAAACACACCCACTCAAACACTCTCTGGTGGCTTCAGGACAAGCAGTTATATGTAAAAAGCATGTGAATAAAATCAGCTTTGAACATGACATTCTCTCCCAGTGACCAATCAGCCTGGATGAGAGAGGCATTCAGTCACCAGCCTTCACTGGTGGGCAACTACCAATTCATCAGTAATATTCATTGTGTTCTTTGCTCAGCATGACCAAAAACCAGGTTGCATTTGTGCTATTTCAACTCTTTGATAAAAAGTTTACGAAATGACAAATTTCCAATCTAATGAGAAACATTGTATTCAAAAAGGACAGTCACAAAGGACACTCTCTCTCATACAAATGCCTGTTTTCCAAGAAAACAGCTTAAGATCTCAGTAGGAGATCTAAACAGTTCAGCTTCAGGAAAGACTTCAGTCTAGATGCCCTTGTTAAGCACTGTGCACAAAGTAGCCACATAGGGGAAGGAGAAGGAGATTGGAGAGTGTGGACTGTCATACAGTTCGGTGCATGCCGTGGCCAGGATTCCCTAAGTAGATGTATCCAGAGTGAGATTCTACCTGTAACATGATGACCTGTGAAAGCTCTCTCTGATAACCTGAAAGCAAATATTTTCAAATAAAACTCCATTAGTGGAGAGTTCTCTCTCCACCACCCGTGGGGCCCACAGATTCATCCGCCTACATAGTAAATCCAGCTGGCTCAGAGCAACCAGGAACTCAGAGACAGATTTCAATAACTTCAGTCACTCATTCTCCAAATATTCCCTGAAGACAGCCAGATGGGAAGAGATCTGACCACAGATGCTGGGAGTCCTGGGTGTAAATCAGAAATCCACTCTTACCAGCTCTGTGAACCCTGACCCATTTACTATGACTAAGTGCAAATCTGTGAAATGGGAAGAGCCACTGGAGAGAATACTGAAAGGCACTAGAGGAAACGGGTTCAGTGTTTGGCAGCTACAATGAAATAGTATGGTTCTTTTCCTCTGTTCATAAATAAATGTCGCTGCTGGGATCCTTGCCTCATCTTTGCAAGGCTGAGCTACGCTTTAATGATGGCCACTGGATGGGAAAGGAAGGGCTTCCAAGGAGGAAGGCTCGAGGCCAATGCAAACCCCTGTGAGGCGAGAGCCTTCCCTCCAGGAACTGGCTCTCCAGGAGGGGTGTGGCTGGGAGGAGTGTGAATAAGGTATTTGAGTTGTAAAAGCCCGCTTGGGCTCCCGTATAAATAGTACAGCCTGCAACCCAGCGTGAGCACTGGAAGCTTGCACTCCTGGCACACCTGGATCGATCCACTCACAGAAAGGTAAGCCTGGCTCTTTTAAACATTTCGTGTGTGTGTGTGTGTGTGTGTGTGTGTGTGTGTGTGTGTGTGTGTGTTTTCAGGGATGGGAGCTTATATACTGAGAACAGAGGATAACATGTAAAAAGAAGCTGGTTCTCACCTTCTACCTTTACACGTGCTCTGGGTATCAAACTCGGGTCATCAAGCCTGCATGGCAAGTGCCTCCATCCTCAGGGCCATCCAGCCAGTCCCCTCTTAAGAGTTATTTTAGTCACTTCTTAGCCCCTGGACCTCCTTGGGTCTGGATCACATTATGGGTACATGAAAGCTATATCACAATGCCAGGAGAAAAATGCCTGGCTCTTTTAGCCCCCTGTCTTAGCCAAGCTTTACTCCAAACTCTCTCAGGGCCTGTTCCTTTTCTTACCTTCCAGGTGGGCAGAAATGAAATCATGGCGATTTCCTGGGCTTTTCCCACCTTTCAGATAAAACTTCTCTATTTTTTTTAAACACAGATTTAATGTTTTTAAAAGAAGAACTATCTAGTGATTGTGTTTGATGCCATAGCAAACCTTGTACAGTCCGTTGTTTCTTTTTGCTATTTTCTGAAGAGCAGAATAAAGGTAAAAAGTGAGAAGTGGGCAGTAAGAACTCATAGAAAGGGGAGACAGCTCTGGCTCTCCATGCCTCTGTCTCTGCTCATCAAGGGACTCTGACCAACATGTTTATCTGCCTGAGCCCTAGCTGTCCCAGCGGTTGCCTGGGAGTGTTACATTAACAGCCCCATGCAAGCTCTTTTATGGATTAAGAGGGGTGAGACTGGGGCATGGCTTAACACCAAGGAGATGGTAAATAATCTCCTTGTTGTGTGGGTCTCCTCTGCCTTTATCTATAGCTTTATACCTCAGAAAAACCATGTTATTTAATACACCATTGATAGTCATTTTATTTTTGTTATAAAAAAATGGGAGGCATTGAATAAATATTTCCTGTATGCCTGGCACTGTGCCACCGAACTTAGCCATGATCCTTACCTTCGGTCTTGCAGTCTCTACGATCTGAAACGCATCCCTCTCCACCCTGTTTCAACTTGGCCCCATCAAGTTCAGTGGCCTCCCCCATCTTCTTGCCTTCCCGGGGCTCTTTCTCATGACTTTCCCACCCATCTCTTCCCACAGCCACACCCAGCCCAATTTGTCAAACCCTGTGCATGTTCAACTGAGTCAACATATCTTTTTCATGACACTTCTATGACTCCTACCACATCCTTTCCCAACTGGTGGTCATTGGTACCCACGTGGATGATGGGGTAGGAACCCAACTCTCTCTGGAGCTAGTCAAGGGGGCAGTGGTTATTTTATTCAACGTTTTCTAGAGGAGAAGAGTGGCTTTTCCAAGATGAGACTGGGGGCTGAGAAGGGAGAAAGTTCCTAGCTGATGCTATGTAAATACCTCCGATTGTATCCTGTGAATTCTTTAAGGCCTGGGGCTTTCTCGCTCCATATGGTAATAATGTTCAGGACATTGTTATGAACAAACTTGGAGTTTGTTATATGAGTAGATCAAGGGCTGAGAAAGTGAGACGCTGAGTGAATGGAGGAGAGTCATGGGCTCATGCAGTGGGGAAGGAGAGGAGGTGTAACTTCCTTCAAAGTGGAAATGAGAGCAGGCAGACTGCTTGGCAGACCTTAAAGTGGGCCAGCCCTGTGGGAGTGGAGGGAGGCAGCCTGCAATCTCAGCCACTCATTCACCTGCCTTTGTCAAACAGGTGTCCACCCAGCGGATGCCATGAGACTCCACAGCCTCATCCTGTTCTCCTTCCTTCTCCTGGCTGCTCAGGTGCTCTCAGAAAAGGTCAGAAAGAGAGCCAAGAATGCACCACACAGCTCAACGGAGGAGGGTACAGAGGGTACATCTCCCTCCTTGGGGAAGGGCCAGAATAAGCAGAGGAGCAGGACATCCAAATCTATGACCCATGGCAAGTTTGTCACCAAAGACCAAGCCACATGCAGATGGGCCGTGACTGAGGAGGAGCTGGGCATCAGCCTGAACGTCCAGTGCACACAAGCCGATCAGGAGTTTTCTTGTGTTTTTGCTGGTGATCCAACCAGCTGCCTTAAGCACGACAAAGACCAGACCTACTGGAAACAAGTCGCCCGCACACTGCGCAAACAGAAGAATATCTGTAGGAACGCCAAGAGTGTCCTGAAGACCAGAGTGTGCAGAAAGAAATTTCCAGAGTCTAACCTCAAGCTAGTAAACCCCAGTGCACATGGGAACATGAAACCCAGGAAGGAGAAAGCAGAGGTCTCCTCAAAGGAACACAAGGTCCAAGAAGCTGTCTCCACGGAGCCAAACAAGGCCAAAGAGGACATCACCCCCAGTCCAGCTGTGACTGGAACTGTGACCACCGAAGATCCAGAGTGTCTAGAGGACCCAGATATGCTCAACCAGAGGAAGACTGCCCTGGAGTTCTGTGGGGAATCTTGGAGCTCCTTCTGCACGTTCTTCCTCAATATGTTACAGGCTACAGCGTGCTAAGGAAGTCGGAGGGAGCAGCCTAAGACACGTGGTATCAGAGCCTCGCTGTCTGCTGAAATCTCCCAGAGTTCCCCACAAGATACAAACATTTCCAATATGGGAACAAAATGAAGTATTTAAACAGATTTTGTAAATTTTGGTTTTGTGTTTTAGAATTCGCTTTGTTATTTTTTTTCACATCCTTGGATGTCCTTTTCAGAGACTGTTTACCTCAACGTATTCTTCCATGGACCACAAACCTAAGTGCATATAAGTAATGGATAAATCCAAGAGATAATGTCCAGGCAAGGAATTGTTGGCTGTATTTACCAGGATAATAAAGTTCTGGGGATTCTCAGAAATACCACTGTTTCCTTCTGATACTTCTCGTTCTGAAAGAGCTTGCAACTTGTTTTTAACAAGCTTCCAGGTATGAGACATGAGACACATAAGGCTGACTTCAGGGTTTACCCATCCAAAGTTATCCCCTGAGGCAATCCAACCCATATTTTGTTTGTATCCACTGCCCTGTATTGTTTGATGTTTAGTGAAATATAGCCATCAGTATCTGTTTTCAGATGGGCCCTGGGCATGGTATCATGGTGACTTCTCATGGTGTCACAGGTGAATAGGGAGGAGGCAGTAATTCCTTAGAACCAGGAATATTTTAAATTAAATTAATTTTGTTATCATTATTGTTAGTATTATTGTGTGTGTATCTATATGATGTGTAAGGGTACATGCATGTCATGGTGTTCAAGTGAGTGTTAAATGACATCTTGTAGGGTAGCTTTCATTTTTACATAAGTCCCAGAGGTGAAAAATCCCTATGAACCAAGCTTTTTACCCACTGAGTCATCTCACTAACCCGGGGACTCAGAAAGTATAGTCACTGAGAACACAAGCTTGAGGAGTCACCTGTGATCTCCCCATGTCCATCCATCATAGGTAGAACTGTCCTTACAGAGCCTATTGGGGGCAGAGGCCTGGTAAGCATTGTCCTGTGATAACAGCTATAGCAGGAGGTGGGTGCTATATAGAAAACCAGAGAGATGAGGGCGATGTGGGCTGAGCTTCCCAGGGAAGCAATGGTAGAGCTGGGCTCTGGAGAGAGCATATTTAATAATGAGATGGAGTGATGGCTTAGCACTTAAGACCACTGGCAGCTCTTCCAGAGGACCTGCATTTGATCTCCAGCACCCATAAGGCAGTTCATAACCATCTGTAGCTCCAGTCTCAGGGGATCCGACAAACTCTTCAGACATACATGGAGGTAAAACACCCATACATACAAAGTAATAAAATAATATTAACACGTTTAAAAAAAAGATGAAATGAAGTAAATTAAGACACATTCCATATGACAACACATTGTTAGAGCAAAGTTATGTGCAAGTCCCAGAAGCTGAGAGTGGTGAGGTGGCTTGTTGAGATATGTAGTCAAGACAGCTCCTAGTTGTGTATGTGTTAGTAGAAAAGAGACGAAGCTATTTTTGAGTCCAGAGTTGAGGACAGAGGACTATCCCCAATGCCTTGTTATGTTTCACCAAGTGGGAAAGAGTCAGTTAGCAGAAGCCCCACCCTTAGCATCTCTGACAGTGTCAGAGAGGAACGGCAGGTATGATGCCAACAGTCTTTTGCTGTTTTCATCTTCCCAGGACATGTGTTGAGGGATGTAGGAGGCCTCACAGTGACATTAGGAGGATATCCGCAGCTTTGTAAGGGTAACAAGACTTAAATGAACTCACAGTGCTTGTGACAACATGCATAGTACTTGCACAAGCTCAAGCCAGACAAAATCCTAGCCTTGTGAGGGGAGTTGGTAAGGGAGTCCCAGCCCTAACTAAGAAGCTATTATCAGTTGATAGGTGCAGGGAGGGGGGGCGGAGTTTTCTCTAAGGGTGTGGCCCTTGGTAGGTCAACCACAATCCAGTGAGAGGCCATGCATGGGCAGATGGGGAAGTTGGGTAGATCTGGGAGTAACTGGGGGATGGGAGTAAATATGATCAAAATAGATTACTAACTCTTGAAGAACTAGTAAAAAAAAAAAAAAAAAAAAAGACAAAAACCAAAAAAAAAAAAAAACCCCACCACAAACAAAAAGCCAACTAAACAAAATCCAAAAAACAAAGTCCCTCATTTGCTATGGGTCTGGTTCTTTGCCAAGACTCTCTCCCATAATTATGTTCACTCTCTTACAGTCTCATTCATTCAAATGTGGCTTACGGAGCACAGACTCCTCCTAGGTGTGTTCGAGGTGTTGGGCACACAGCCACATCGAGACAGCACGGATGGCTGTTCTGCTGTGACAGCTCTCACTGGAGGGGGGAGTGGTGATAGATACGATTCTACGAGAGTTAGAGAAGAAAGCAAAGCTGGGGGTAGGAGTAGAAGTGAACCACAGGAAGGAGTTTTACATGGCCTGCCAGGGACCTCTCTCTAGGAGGAACCTGAATCCAGATCTAAAGAGAGGGAGCCAGCCATGTGATGGTCAGGGTTAAGAATGTTCCAGAAGGAGCTGTCAGAGCAAAAGGTCTGACATCACAGGTAATTTCTTTGTTCTCTGTTTCATTTCCACTGTTTTCCAGGCCCTCCTCCAGACTTAAAAAATAACATCAGGGAAAACAGAAAAATATATCCCATCCTTATGCTGTATTCCCATGATGGGGACCATGGTTGGCACACTATTAGAATGTCAAAGACTGGACTGCCATCACAAGGTGGGGCCCTAGACCTGGCTTAAGAATCTAACCATCAACTGCAAGAATTGAACCAACCTCCCAGGCTCTCTCGGCTATAGCATGGGTCTGGACTTTTCCCTCAGAAACATGTACCTTTTAAAGGTTGGCCCTGAATTTGGGGCCCTGTTGGGAGGTGGTGGAACCCTTAGGAACTGGGACTTTGTGGGAAGGTGCTGGGTCATCAGAGATATGTCCTTCAAGGAGACACTGGAAAGCCAGTCTTTTTTTTTTTTTCCTCCTCTCTACCTGGCATTTGATTCCATCACGGTATGCTGTAGTACCACAGACCCTAAAGGACAGGGCCTAGGGGTCAGAGAGCAGAAGCTATTAAACCAGGAGCCAAAATAAACCTGTTCTTATTGTACTGTAGAGTACTTGCTTAGTATGCATGCATCTCTCAGGTCAATCTCCAGGGCTAAAGTAACAAAAGAAAAAAGCTACACATTACTCTATTCCCTTCATATCATGGGTGCCCACCCCAAGCGGCCATTCAGAGTCCATGCTGTGAGACTAGATTGTAGAGGGAAGAGACAGTTTTTGTAATTAGCTTTCTATGGTGGTGGGAATTGGTTTTCTTCTCCTTCACCTCAGTTTGACGTTGGTTTTGTTGTTGTTTGTGTGCTACTAACTGTTGTTTGTGATGTGGTTTCAATATGTAACTAGGCTATTCATAAACTGAGTCTGTAGCTCAGACTGGCTTCAAATTCATAATCCTACTGCCTCAACCTCCTTAGTATTGGCAATTTGGACATGCCTCAACATGTTCACCTCGGTATTACCAAGGTGACAATGACATTGTCCTCATTCTTTTATTTAATTTCTCAACAAGTATGACAGGACTCCTCAACATCATGTCCTACATGAAGGGACTAAGACTCAGAAAAGCTGAAGAGCTTCTGAGAGCCACAGAAAAACCAGAGCCTGTGAGGAAAATACTTGCTTTGGGAGCTCGTGAGTCCTTTTAACTGGGGAACCTGAGTGTTTTCTTCACTGAGTAAGACTGACAGTTATGATATTCAGACAGGAGCCAAACCTGGATGTACACAGGGTCCACCAGTCCCCTCCCCATGTGAAGCCCCTTCCAACGTTTACAAAGAGAAAATTCTAGTAGCTAACACTTGTCTCTCTTTTCAACTTTTCATCCTAATCACATCCTGAGAGAAGGTGGTAAAATTTTAAGAAAAAATAAGCAAAAGATAATCCAGACTTTATGTTGGATTCTACCTAAATTGTCACTGTGTAGTTTCCCTGAGATCTCTCTGGAAGTATAATAGAGAGGCTTCTATCTGGGTGGTAGGGGAGCAACAAGAACTTGGGAGGCAGAAACAGGTGGATTTCTGAGTTCAAGGCCGTCTGGTCTAATCTCTCTCTCTCTCTGTCTCTCTCTGTCTCTCTCTGTCTCTGTCTCTCTCTCTCTCTCTCTGTCTCTCTCTGTCTCTGTCTCTCTCTCTCTCTCTCTCTCCCTCCCCCCTTCCTTCTCTTCCTCTCTTCCTCCATCTTCCTCCTTCCCTCCCTCCCTCCCTTCATCCCTCCCTCCCTACCTTCCTTCTTCCTTCCCTCCCTCCCTCCCTCCCTCCCTCCCTTCCTTCTTCCTTCCCTCCCTCCCTTCCCCCCTCCTGTCTGGAGGTATATGTGCATCCTCTGAAGCCACCAGGAGAAGTAATACCTATCTGCTCATAATTGAGCAGGAGGCCCCTTCCCTCCAGCATGCAGCTCTGCTTGGTTACTCACTGCAACACTAGTACAAACTTGAATGGCTGGAATCAGGCACATCTCACCTGGCCTCCTTCCCATCCACCTTCTTTCATTAACTTCTCACCTAAATTGCCTTCGGCAGAATAAGCAAGAGATACAAAATGTCAGGGGTTGAAACTCCCACACATGTACAAGTTTGGCCACCCGCTGGTGTCTTGATTTTTCGTAATGTCTCTATGTACACCTTGAAGTATCTTTCTCAATAACCTTGAAATATCTTCCTCAATGAATATGTCATACAACAAGCACATACAAGAATATGTTTGTTAGGGTGCATTTAAATAGGGACTCAAGAAGCATAGGAGATTCCCTAAAAAGGCTGATTTGGGACCTGGATTGTTGGCTTTGGGCTATCCAGGGCAAGTTTTTTTTTTTTTTTTTTTTTTTAACTTGGAAATGTGTGTGATAAGGTAGCGCTCACTTAAACCTGTCTGGCTCAGCAGCAAGTGCCAACACTCAGTGGTAGGCTCACCACAAGGTGTGTCTTCCACAAATATTGCTTGAGAGAATGAGAGAAGAAATCACAACAAGGACAAAAATAGACTTCGGGTGAAAGAAACCTAGGTTAGAGTTTCTGACTGTGCTAGCTGGGACAAGTTTTTCCATTTCAAGTTCCCCTCCATAAAATGGGAGTAAGGGAAAGGTACCTGAGAGAAATGATAAGTGATTAATATCAAAAGCACTAACAGCACACACAGTGATTGTCATTAAGTTGGAACTTGGTATTGGTGAGTAGATAGTCAAGAGAAGAAATACGACTGTTTTCTAGGAAAGCAAAACTCAGGGCTGGCTTGCCTGTGAAATGGAATCTAGCTGTCCCCAAGTCACCTTCTCAAGAGCACTCTCTACCTCATGGTCCTCAGAAGGCCCCC